AATAGAAAGAAATTAATCGGACAACTAAAAATATATAGAAAAAATTAGCCAGGCATGGTGGCACATGCCTGTAGTCCCAGCTACTCGGGAGACTGAGGCAGAAGGATAGCTTGAGCCCAGGAGTTTGAGGTTGCTGTGAGCTAGGCTGACACCACGGCACTCTAACCTGAGCAACAGAGTGAGATTCTGTCTCAAAAAACAAAACAAAACAAAACAAAACAGTGTATCTCAGGGATAATTCCCTACCAATATATAAGCTTTTTAAATTTTTTTCTCTTTTATGACATAATCTCCTATTCTAATACACTTTTAAGATTGTTTTTTGTACCACACAGTATTCCACTGTATGAATGTACCAGTCCCTTACTAACAGGTATTAAATTGCTTTTAATTATTTGCTGTTATAAAAAATGTTGGAATGAATAAGCTTGAGCTACATAATTTCATAAGTATGTACAGATAATTATATCCTAGAATTCTTTTTTTTTTTTTTTTGGAGACATGATCTCACTCTGTTTCCTGGGCTACTGTGCAGTGATGTCATCATCGCTAAGTGCAACCTCAAACTCTTGGGCTCAAGTGACCCTCCTGAGTAGCTGAGACTACAGGCACGTGTACACCACCACACTCAGCTAATTTTTCTATTTTTTGTAGAGATAGGGTCTTGCTCTCACTCAGGCTGGTCTGGAACTCCTGTCCTCAAGCGATCCTCCCCGCTTGACGTCCAAAAGTGCTAAGATTACAGGCATGAGCCACCACACCTGGCCGAGAATAAATTCTTAGATACCAAAAGCCATTCTCTTTCCATTAACTCCATGCTACCTCGGGCTTCTAAGAAACAACTCACAATTGGACTCATGATGATTTATATTTATTTTATTTAAAAACTTTACCTAAATACCCCAATTATGCTTTTCATTTTAATAAAAAAATTAGAAATGGCTTCAGATGGCTTTCAGATGTGCTTAAAGACCACAATAGTCTGGGAGATGATTTTAAGCCAAAGTATTAATAAAACGACTTCAAAACCAGTGGCATAAACATCATGCTGGTTCTCACTTCCCATTCAGAAGGTATCTGTTCCCGAGGACTCCATGTCCCCCTGTATCGTGCTGATGCTCTGAGACTGAGACAAATCTTCGAGGTTCACTGAGGGCAGCGTCACAGACATCTTGGCAGGTACCGTCTGCGAAGTTAAGAGTGGTACTGCTTTACCACCTGCACAAAGGAGAAAATCATTTAGCTAAATAAGCACATCTTGAGTATTTATGTGCTTTATACTTTCCTAAATAATATGGGAGAATCAAAACAAGGATTGCATATGAGGGAAGTTCTTTTCTCAATGTGCTCAGAACTTGTCAGAAAGACAAAATACACCCTTCCTCTTTTCCACTACACTCCTAATCAGTTAGAGACAACATTTAAAAAGTATACAAGCACTAAAAGTTGTGGTACAGATGATAAACGCTAGGTTATATCGAGTAGGGTTAAGAATCTAGTCTCTGAAATCCACACTTAACCTCTTAGTGGCTATGTGATTTGGGGCAAGTTATTTTACCACTCAAAAGTTCATTTACCCCATATTTTAAGTGAGATAATAGTACCTACCTTCCACAGTACACTGAGGATAACATAATATCAGTAAAGAGCTCAAAAACAGAGCTTAGCACTTAATAAGTGCTCAAAAACTAAGAGCGCCACTAAAAGATCACTAGTATTCCTATTATCATTAAGCAGATAGCTAGAAATCCAATAAAACACTGTATCAGCCCTAAAATAAGGGTTTGGCAGTTAGTTGTAGAAAGAAGGTGATTTTTTTTTTTTTTTTTTTTTTGAGACAGAGTCTCACTTTGTTGCCCGGGCTAGAGTGCCGTGGCGTCAGCCTAGCTCACAGCAACCTCAAACTCCTGGGCTCAAGCGATCCTTCTGCCTCAGCCTCCCAAGTAGCTGGGACTACAGGCATGCGCCACCATGCCCGGCTAATTTTTTCTATATATTTTTAGCTGTCCAATTAATTTCTTTCTATTTTTGGTAGAGACAGGGTCTCGCTCTTGCTCAGGCTGGTCTCGAACTCCTGAGCTCAAACAATCCGCCCGCCTCGGCCTCCCAGAGTGCTAGGATTACAGGCGTGAGCCACCGCGCCCGGCCCGTGATTTTTTTTTTAAAGGCGGTAAGATACAAGCTGTGTAAAAAGCATGTGATGTCAAAGGCTGCCAAGGCACTTTGCTCTCCCTCCTACTGCTAAAAAAATGAACCTCAACTCAGGATCCTGTTCTTAATAAACATTTATTGAGTGTCTAAGGATGCTATGCCATTAGTTAACAGAAGTGATATAAGGGAAGCAATGTCAGAAAAAAAAAATATCGATGTGGTCATTCAAGTATATTGACATTTGACTTTGGAAAACATTTTTCTCTGTAAAATAGACTTTTCTTCATCATATTTAATGAAATATGGAAAACATTTCCACTCCATGGATTGAGAGCAATATTATATTATCTAATATAGAAGCTGGCTAGTGGCAGAGGGGAGGCAGTTTGGGATACAGAATTTGTTAATATGTTTAAAAATCCAGAGTCTACTACATATGTGTATATATCTGTCTATACCATAATTCACTGCTCTAAGTTTAAAGCATATTGCTTAAGAATATAAAGAATGTCAACTTGTTATTATTTAAAACCACAAAAAAAATCTTCATTTTAAATTTTATGGATTTACCATAGATATAATAATAAATACCTTAAAAACAATCTTAAAGACATCTTTCTAGTCAAGAGTCATAGTAATTTTTCTAAAACCCCTTTATGTTTTTTAAGTAGTTTCCACAGTAATAAAGTAGAATTTTCCATTACATTTTTATAGAGGCCACAGTAAAAGTAGACGGTTCTGGATATTTCAATGATGACTCAATCACAGCTGTCCAAGATGATCAGAATACTTGTAAAAGGCAAATTCCTTTCATATTAGGAAGTCTAACAAACACTATTTTAAATACTATATAGTTCCTTTTTGTTAATTGTATCAACTTCATTTTTTTTAATAAAAGGGGGGAAGGGAGATTAGATCTGGCATCATTATCATTATAGCAACATCACAAACTATGATACCATAGTATTTAAAAAGAAAGTAAGTCTTATGTCAAGTTAAACAGTTGATACCTATAACATTTCACTTTAATACTTCTTGTTTTAGTTTTATTGTGAAGGTACATCCTCAGTCTTTCAAGCATACATTTTGGCTTATGATTATCTTTAAGGTTTTTTAAGAGCAATTTTTGTGAAACCAGGGATAAGTAAAAAATTAATGTTATTTTTTAATATGAGTTCCATCCAATTCAGTGCAGACAGCTTGAAATATCAACAAAGTGTTTGGGGAAGGATGTGGTTAATGAACACACAATACGCTGATGGTTTGAGAAATTCTGTTCTGGTGATTTTAATCTTGAAAATGAGCCATATGGGCAACCTGAGACCAAGGTGGATAATGATGAGCTCAAAGCTGTAGTGGAAGCAAATCCATCTCAACCTACACATGAATTAGCAGCAAGGTTTGATGTTGCTATTCCAACAATATACTGGACCATTTGAAACAAAGTGGCAAGGTAAAGAAGCTGTATAGATGGGTTCTGCATGAATTAAACCAGCGTCAGAAGAGAAATCATCTCAAAGCTTGCCTTTCTTTGCTATCACTACATAAAGGTGAATCATTTCTACACCGTATTATTATGTGTGATGAAAACGGATTCTTCTTGACAATCACAAACATTCAGCACAATGGTTGGATAAAGATGAAGGTCCAAAACTGAATATTCATCAAAAAAAGCTAAAGGTGTCTATTTGGTGGTCCGGCGCTGGTATTATCCATTACAGCTTCATAAAACCCGGTCAATCGATGACAGTGTATGTCTGTTGCAACCAATTGCACGAAATGATGAAGATGCTTGTGATTAAGCAGCTGAGATTGGTTAATAGAGACAGGCCGATCCTCTTGCAAGACAATGCTTGATCACATGTCGCACATGCAACGCTGCTCAAACTACTACAGCTGGACTTTGAAACTTTCTGTCATCCACCGTATTCACCAGACTTTCCATCAACTGATTACCACTTCTTCCAGGCTTCGGACCACTTCTTGCAAAGAAAAATATTCAATTCTCAACAAGCTGTGGAAAAGGCCTTTCGTGATTTCATCACCACGCATTCTCCAGGCTTTTTTGCTGCTGGCGTAAGCAAGCTACTGTTAAGACGGCAAAACTGTTTTGATAGTTTAGGCACATACTTTGATTAATTGTATTGCTTCTTATTTGAGATATATAAACTAAACTTTTGATTTGAAATTGGACATTTCATATTTAATGACTTTAATCAATAGGAAAAGACTTTGAAATTTAGCTCTGTCAGTATATAATAAAAACTAAAATTAATAAATGCTAATAAATGCTAAGAACTACATTTAAAAAAATGTTTATAGGACATAAGCATTATATAAATATTCTCACATTTTGCAAAGCTACGATGCAGAGTCCACAAAACAACATCAGAGCTTACCTTGTCAATAAAGTAAAAAAAATCTAACACAGAGTATAACTAAGGCCTACAGCAAATTAATTTTCCACCCATACAACCAATTTAATGTTATCTTTCCCCAATTATTCTTAATAACTCCATTTCTTGAGTTACATATCTGCCAGAAACTACACTTATACCAAATACTCTTCTTTTCTCTCATCACAAAACTGCTTTTTTATATGTATCTTCATTTTCTACTATGTGTACAAAATTACTGCTTGAATTGCTCAATGATGTAACAAGAGCTATAACTATTTTTTTTTGGATCTCCAAGAAGTTTCCAAATCTCAAGGAACATGTTAAATTCAATCATTGAAAAGTTATATTACTTCTTGTAGTTATTGCCTTATATTTATATAGCAATTCAAAATTTTGTAAATATCTTTTCCCCAGCATGTTATCTGATCCTAATTCAGGGAGACAGACAAGGTAACGGAGTCACAGAGATGTTAAAGTGGGCTTTTCCAAAAGCATGTGCTCACTAACATCTATTTGAACCTACTGTTTAGTAGGGAGCTAAGATGGTACCAAGAGGATACAAAGATGAAAAAGATATAGTCCTCATCTTCAAGAAGCTCATAATCTAGTCATGGAGATAAACATGTGTAGGAATACTTAGTTTAAATTAGGTGGAAGCAGCAGTTGAGCTGAGACTTACAAGATGGTGGGAAGGCAATGAAGAAAAGGAGAACAACAAAATAAAGTCAAGATAAGGTTAGTGTGTTAAGGGAATTTTGAGTATTCTGGTTTTTTTTGAACAAAAAGTATGATCTAATTTTTTCTTTTTCTTTTTTTTTCTCTTTGAGTATTCTGATATCGAAGTATTGACTGGATAGGAGGAATGGTGAGTGATGAGGCTCTAAAGGAAGGCCAAGGCCAAGTTCTGTAAACAATAAGGAGTCATAAACAATTCTGAACAGAGGAGTAATATGAGCAAATGTATTTTAGAAAAGATCATACTAATAGCTGTGTGGAAAATAAGGAGAGAGGGGAAGGATCTATAGAAATAGTCCATGGAAGAACTTATGATCCTTGGCAATGTACTAAAATCAAGATATTTTAGAGGGAGACTTAGTACTTACAGAGAATTGAATTGACTCTGAAATGACAGATTCAGTTGACTGAGTAGGCAGTAATAAGAACACAAACAAACTTGAGGGCTTTGGAGTTGTAGAGAGATGGAGAGATACTGGGACCTGTTATACACTGGATGAATTGAATGCCTGCAAGATGTGTGAACGGACTTCAGGAGGAATTGGGACAAAGATTTCAAATATTGTAAGGCAGTTTTAGAGATATAGAATTAAGTCATCTATATGAATATAATAATTAATGAGACTTGCAGTCACTTAGGGAGAGAAAATAGATTGAAAACAGAAATGATGATGAAATGTGGGACAGGGCAAGGAAAGGTAAATAAAGAGGAAATAAAGGAAAACAAAAGGGAAATATCAGAGAGATAAGTAGGAAGAGACCTAGAAGAGTGAAAAGTCACATAAAGTAAGAGATGGTTTTCAAAAAAGAAAGTCTAATATAATTCATCTAATTAATTCATAATTGGTAGAGCTAAGACTATAACTCACTGCTTTTGGTACTATATTAAATACCTTAATTAACAGCAATAAAAACGTATTACTTTCAAAAGTAGCTGAGGGAAATTCCATTTAAGTACTGCTCTGTAATTGTAGGAGAAGCTAACGAGAGGAGCAGGGATCAAGTTTCAAGAACAAGTTTCTTTATGATAGGTCAAGACTGGGGTCCAAATGACATCACTCAGAAATGGTTCCACCTAGACCATTGGTGTGAGACTTCTCTACGGGAAGGAGTAAAGGGCAGGGAGGATAAGAGCATGGATTCTGGAACAGGGCAGAGCTGGGATCATCCATTCATGCAACAAATATCAACTGAGCACCTACTATGTGTCAGGCACTGCTGGAGAATACAGCAGTGAAGAAAACAAAGGCTCCGATCTCACTGACCTTACATTCCAGTTAGGTGTAGGGATGAACAGCAAACAAGTAAGGAAATAAAAATATAATAAATCAAGAAGTGATAAGTGCTGTAAAGAAAAACAAGTAAGGGGTAAGAGGGGTAGAGAATGATAAGAGACTTTGGGAAAGTTATGTAACCTCTAAATCCAAGTTTTCTCATCTATAAAATAAAGAGTACCTACCTCAGAGGGTTTTATGAGGATTAAACAAGATAATGCATATAAAGTATTTTGTACAGTGTTGGCATACAGCACTCAAACAGGTCAGCTCTTACTTTTATGCAACTGGAAAGGAACTATCTCAAGAGGCAATGACCCTGAGGGTGGGCTGCAAAAGATACTCTTGCTTTAGAGGGAGGGCTAAGGATGTTTTGCTGAAATGCAGTAAGAAAAAAAAAAGAGAGCTCTGGAAGGCCTCCAATAGTTATGCTATCTTAAACTCTAGTTAACTGTGTTTTAATCAGCAAATTATATCAATAAAATGCACCACCTTATATAAAGGTGTTTGTTAATGTACATTTTGGGAAGACTTTTTTAAAGTGTTCATTTATACAGGCTAAAAAAAATCACAGTTTTAGAACCTTGTAAGAAAACTCTTCAGACTGGGAATATATATATTTAAAAAAGCACCACTTAGATTGCTATGAACAGGCAAAAAGGGTAACATTCATATCCAGTTATGGTCCTCACAGAGTTTAAATTTATTTTCTAAAGAAAAGACATAATATCTTAATAAATCACCATGAAAGCAAATATGTTTTCTACCTATATTAAATGTAGTTTGATGCTTTTAAAGTTTGACTTTTAGAATTTCCACAGTCAAGTCATTACTTTATGATGTAATTGTTTCAACAGCTGTTTTCAGGTCTAAAAAAAACGACTATTTCTTGGTTCCACGCGTTTGTAGTATGTCATTTAACCTGGCACGCATTTAAGCTGGGGATGCCATACAGTGAGACTATGCATTTGAAGCTTCCTAAGACATAATTTAATATACTGTTTAGACATTTGAAATTCCAATTTTTTGCTTTGAAAATACTTAAAATTCAAAAAATTTATGTTTTTTGATGTTGGATTTATAAAACTAAGTAACAGAAAAACTATAATTTACTCTAAGTAATATAGGCAATGATATAGGATGTTTAATGTCCATTTAAGATGTTGCTTATACACTATAGATATATTTTTAAAATATATATAACACAGCTTTCCAAAAGCTTTTTGAGTTTAAATAATCCATTTCATCAACAAGTATTAGATTCTGACTCTAATCCTCAAACATTTGGTAACCCATTATTATATCTCTGTTATTTTCAGACTTAGAAGAATCCAAACAAAGCACTGTCTCCTAAAACAACATGAGACAATCAGACAAAAGAAGGAAAAGTTTCCTTAGTACTTCTATAGAAGAGTTACAGCACGTTAAACTCCTCATTTTGACTAGGTAACTACACATGGCACAAGCCATGTATATGAATTTATGGTGTTCTTCTATAAGATGAATATATAGTGGAATGACTTTTAATTGCCTGGATTTGGGTTTTTCTACATGCATATAAAGATTGGTTTCTTATAAACTGTGCATTTAAAAATAAATTTAAAAGTAAACAAATGTATTAATAATGCTCTTTAATCCAAGTACATGAAGGATCTTAACCCAGGATCAATGGACAGGTGACTGGAGATCTGTGAATACCCTGAAGCTTTATGCAAATTATCTTCATAGAAGTAGAGAATTTGGGAGGAAGATAGGTAGTCATGGCTATTAGTATCTTAAAGTGATCTGTGGTTCCCAAATAAGAATCATTAATTTAAAGGATACCCCAGCCCCAAGTGCAAGTGAATCACATTCTGTTTTGCCAGCAATAGTGGTGAAATACCAGGAGTTCCTCTCGTGTTAATTGTAGGCGCAGAAGGCAACTTGACTGTAGCACTTACCAAATTGCACTGTCATTGTTTATGTGTCTGTCACTTCCATTGGACAATGTATTCCTTAAGAGCATAGACAGAAACTTACAGCCTTTGTGTTCCAAATGATCACTACAGCAAGTACACAATAAGTCTTTGTGACCTTATCATCTTCTATTATTGTTATTAGCTTGTGAGCCTGCTGTTCCTGTTAAACGTGTGCTCCACTAGGACAACTGTGTCTTATTTAGCCTCTGCATTCTACAAAGCTGCAGCATGACATGGGCCTTGAAATGACTGCTGAACCAAATTGATTTGTTTCTACCTAGACAGTCTGTAGTTCCTCCTGGCTAACAGCATGCTTAGATTCATGCTGACCAGATCTTATCTTTAAAATCAGCCCTGAATTTCAGCAATGCAGTTGCTTCCCAGCTGTCTGTGAAAATGTTAAGAGTATTTCAGCTGTGTTTTAGTGAGTTCTTGAAGCATTTTTCCTGTCCACCCTGGCCTCATCCACTCTCACTTCAACTTCTTGTGTGAGCAGCTGCTAAACTAGCCTGCTGAATTCAATTCTCCTCATACACTTAACCCAGTCCTGCAGATTTTGCAACATCATAGCTTCAGTGCTTGAGAACAAATACTGCAAGTCTTGATGAAGAAGGTGCCTGGTCATTTGATGTTAAGTATAGTACCTAATATTTTATTTACCTCTGCTTTCCAGAAGTAGTCACTATTAAACATTTGTTTCCTTACTTTCATGTTTAAAAAGGAGTATTTAAAATGTTACAATAGTTTCATCCCAAAAGATGTTTAAGACATATATATCCTATTACTTTTTCTTGTTTTTCATGAGTTGACAAATGCTTATTTTACAACTTAAGGTAAAAATAAAGCAGTTCCTATAGGAAGAATAAATGTACCAACACCTGTAAAAACAACTCCAATTCTTTTTCCTCTAAAAAGCAATAGTTAATGCGAAAGATTTGTTTCTTCTTATGCCAGGTTCCAGCTGCTTCACTTTGTTTAAAACTGACTTCAAAGTTTAAACACTGTCCTGTCCCAACAAATAACCTCCCCCAGATGGAATTATCTCAAGTACTATCCTCAGTGCTCTGAATACCACACCTGCAGTCTTTTAATTCAACATTTTATAAACTTTCCAAAGGGAAATGATAGATTTTTTTTTTCCCTGTTCCCTAATTTATGCCTTTTGGAGAGTTGAGTTTAGTGCAAGAAGGGAGTCCTATACCTGGGTGAACTTACAGATATTTTAGAAGAGTTAAAAACTGGTATTAACATTTCTATTGTGCTGATTTGTGCTGATTATCATGAGAGAAAGAAATCATAAGGAAATGAAAAAATCTGAACAGCTACACGTTCAAGAACTTTTAAAGTAAAAATCATACCTGTAAATACAGATGCGAGGTACAGATTGGGCTCAGTTTGTGTCCGATCCATATCACCTGGGTAAGCTACGTTTAAAAAAATTTTTTTCAGAAGAAAATCAGTTAAGCACAGAAATACTCATGATTCATTCCTAGTCAATAAAAATAACACAAACCAAATGCACTCCCACAGTTACTCTCATAAAACCAGGTAAACAGAAGCCTGATCTAGTGCCCTTAATGTAAAGAAGGAAGTTAAACAGCTGAATTTTAATGACTGTCGATAGAAAGCTACTTTATCTAATGGATTATTATCTTTATGCACCAAAGTTGAGGGAAAGGGGGAAGCAAAGGATCATGAGAGAATTTGCAATTTGTATTAAACAGAAGAAACTCATGGGCCATTTCTTCCAAGGTTAAAAGTTTTCATAGATTCTCAGCCCTAAGAATTTAATCATTGTAAAAAGAAGTGTACGATTTCCCTTCTCCCTAGGCCACCCTGGGGCTTACTGCTTAAGACAATCTATGTGAAACAACCAATAAAGTTGTCAGGGAGCACAGAAGGGCAATACACTATTAAACCAAAGCAAATTTTTAATATTAAAATAAAACAGATTGGGGGAAAATTCTTTTTATGGCCAGAGAATTAGCAAGTAGAGAAAAGTTAAATAATTGAAGAAAGACATCTGTAGCACAGATAGATCTCAAATCAACAAGGTACCTTGGATACTAAGACCATGGACCCGTGTTGATGCTATTAATCTGTGCTCTGAAATATAGTCAATCGATAACCATCAATAAATGTTACTTCAAACAAATTCTCAGGGCAGGGTGATATGAAAAAATTTATAACATAGTATAATCAGTATTTGTTTCCCAATTCTCTCAAAGACAAAAATCAGTCATCTCTCAAGCTGCTTTTATTTCACAAAAATTTCAGGTGGATTTTCCAAGAAGATAAGATATTTAAATGAACAAGAGTATAAGCATTACATATTTCCTTACACTGAATAATATATTCTCACTGGAGACAAATATTCATGTTAAACTATTGTAGTTACACTGTCAAAACTGATAAAAATTAATGGAATGCAATACAGATCAGTGAAAAAAATTAAAGCTAAAAAATTAGTTTTAGAAGAAAATATAGTTTTATAAACATAACATTGTGGACAAATACAATCACTTGTATATTTGAAATCCACAAATACACCATAATTAAACATCCAACTTTGATATAGTTTTAAAAAATCTTTAAGTGCATTAAAAGAGCTTGCTATGACCTTAACTACTAAATGCTATTCATGTTTACGTCCCCTTTAAGTTTCTGAGAGCTAGGAAAAGAAGGTCTTACTGCTTGGTCTCTCTGGCTTACTAAGGCTGCCTTCAGATTCTACACAGCACATATAAAACAAAGGTATCAGCACCACCTCAGAGGCCCCTTCATTGAAAAACCATTTGTTTGTAGCAAGTAATGAGAGTATTACCGACCTAACTGGCTTGATAAAAGATCTTAACAGAGTATGTCACATATGAGAAGTGTACCTACATGGGAACTATTACATATTATTGTTGCTGTTATTATAAACATAAACAAAACTCTCCTCAACCACAACTTGGGGAGAATCTTGATTTCTGCCGTATCTCCCAACAGTAAAAAAAAAAAAAAAAAAAATGCCACCATCTCAATATCAGAGTTGACTATTTGTAACTTATTCAAGTAGGAGCTTCATAATTCTCACTTGTTGAATGGGGTTTTCTGGAAGGGTGAGTACTGTGCTCTGTAGTTGAGGATTAAAGTTGCAAACACAACCTACAACCAGGTCAACACAATTTGAAAACTGCTTATCAAGTTTGTAGATTCTTACATTTCCTCATCCTGCTACTCAAAATTGAAGAAACATACTTACTGATATTTAAGTCAAAGGATGAGAAGAGAAAATTTCTAATTATTTGATTTATAAATTTCTATGGAAATTTTGAGTGGGTAATATTGACTAGAAATTGAGTCATAAATTATCTATGAATATAATTTATCTTTTTACCTTTACCACAAAAAGCAGATTTGTTAGCTTTTATTTAGATGTTTGAAGATACCACAAAATAAAGAATAAGTGATCTTAGCTTTGGAAATAACACTCCTAGGCTGCAAAAGCAGGGTACTACTGAAAAAGGTTTAAATGAAGGCACACAGGGATACTGGGATTGAAATACTTATATGTACTGTGCTTCTTCCAAACACCTTACCTCAATATTTTAGCTTTTCATTTTAAATAATCATTCAAAATCTTGTGGCTATACATGGTGCCAACTGAAAGTAAGCCATGTTATAGTTAGTACACAAGCTTTTCAAATACTGTATTTAAAAGGATAGGAATCTGGGCTTTATAATAATTATATTCTTATATTTTAAAAATTTTTATTTTTGACTTGAAAGTTTATTTCAGGCTCTTTAATGCTATCTTTAATAAGAATCATTGGTATAGCAATATTTAAATCTATAAATCTTTTTAAGATTATTTTAAGTAAATTCTTTATAAATTATCTAAGAAAGGTATATAGTACTATAGGCTGCTAACTGTAAAACAAGGCTACAAAGATGAGGGTCCCCCCAAAACGAATTGTTTAACCCACATAACAAAACATAAACTTTTAAATGGATGATGCCCAGAATTTAAAACAAAATCTAATAAGGAGACATCTAAAATTAGTGACATTCAGGATAGCGCATTTTAATACTAAAGTGAGTTCATTGAAAAAAAATAGGATTATTATTAGGGTACTTGAAAATATATAGAAAAAAGCACACTTTAAACAAATAATCTGGCCAGATCTTCCAAATTAAGTTACTCATTGGTTACACATCTAGTAGGTATATGAACTCTTTCAAATAATAGCATTTTCAGAAATAGCATCTTGGCAGCATAACAGTGTATATCCAACTGCCAAGAAATTATTAAGAAAATGATGACTCAGCTATCCTGAATGCAGATGACTATTTGAATAATGTAAATTTAATTATTAAAGCTCGTTAAAAGGCATTTCAGTACTTGAATGTAGTGCTGTGTGGTGTTATGACAGAGAGTGTGCCTGCCTTTTAGGGGCAGGAATGTCTAGAGAGACATTCCAACATCAAAATTTGGTTGAGAACTAAGCGACTCTGTTTTAGTAGACAACTTTATCTACAACACACTTCCTGTTGGTTGAACAGCCTGTGAAACAGCTACTAAAACAAATTTCTCTCAGATAATTCTTTATAAAAGCATGACATGATGGTTTAAAAGCGCAAAGAATCTTAAAAATTACAATAGGTTTGCCTCAAGGAAGAAGCCATATATGCCATATGATTTAAGGTATGTGAAGTACAAATCAAGAAAACTAATCTAGGTTGTAAGAAGTCAGAAGAGTGGTTTTATGCTTGTGGGGTTGGAACTGTGGCTGAAAGGGAACATGAGGGTCTTTGGAGGTGCTGGCAGTGTTCTCTTTGTTGAGCTGGGTACTGGTTGCACAAGTGTGCTCCATTTATAAAAATTCTTTGAGCTGTACAATTATGATATGTATACTTTTCGGTATGCGTATCATTCTTCCAGAAAAAGTTAAAATTGAAAAAATCTGATAGGTTAGTTTCAGCAATTAAAAGGTGATAATTTTGTAGTTTTAAGCTTTTTTTCCAATGATGAAATAGCCTTACTAAGCTTACTAGGTAGCTTTTAGCATCAAGTGAATAGTTATTGCTAAGCCATAGGCCATACTGATGACTACAAAGATAAATTCCCTTTTATATTATTTTTCATTTCTTTTTTTTTTTTTTTTTTTGAGACAGAGTCTCGCTCTGTTGCCCTGGGTAGAGTGCAGTGGCAACATCATAGCCCACTGCAACCTCAAACTGCTGGGCTAAAGCGACCCTCCTGCCTCAGTGTCCCAAGTAGCTGACACTACAGGTGTGCACCACGATATCCAGCTAATTTTTCTATGTTTAGTAGAGACCAAGTCTCACTCTTGCTCAGGCTAGTCCTGAAAGCCTGAGCTCAAGCAATCCTCCTGCCTTGGCCTCCCAGAGTGCTAGGATTACAGGCGGACCACTACTCCTGGACCCCTTCTATGTTATTTTTCTTAAAACCCTGAATACCAGTGAGCTAAAATTATTCAGAAGTAGAAAGTAAGTTTTTGTTGTTGTTGCTGTAGTTTAACTCTCACAAGGCTTACTACCTAAAATACTTTATGATAATTAGCCATTTGATTTAAATGAAAGCACAAACTCTAATCCAATTTTAACTAATCTTAAAAGCATTTCTAAAATCTTAATACCTTATGTAAATGCACATTTAATCCTTTTTTGGTAAAAGTTTGCTGTTTCAGTTTATGTCTATAAAGCAATAATATGATAACTACACTTATACTCAACTATAACTCTTACTCAACAATAACTCCTATAATTCTAATTCAACTATATTACACTATGCCACAGATTGTTAGAGGTCACTATTATAATAATCTTATAAATGACATTTGATAACTAACAAAGCTGAAGGCAAAGTAACTCCCTAATATTTACTAAGCAGTTTGAAGCTAAGTGCCTTTATAATCTACAGACAGAAAATCTATTTTCTGAGATGGAAATCTATCCTAAATATGAAAACTTCTCTCAATTATGATTATCACTAAAAATACACTGTACTATCTGTGTAGCCTTTATAGTGGGTTTTGCCATATCTCATCATTCCTAACTCAATTTCAAAATAAAAATTAAATGTGACATAGTGACAAGTTCACTTCCCCAAGGCTAGACTTGGTAACTTTTAAAAGAGTGGAAGAATGAAAAATGAGCTTTCAAATACAGGAAGCCACCAGAAAATAAGAACAACACTATTCCATATCCTAAAATAAGAGCTTTAAAGATTTTCTGTTGAATAGTAAGTTTCAGGGCAAGGGGGAGGGAAGGAGAGGGTGGGTTTCTGCTGACTGTACACATGACACCAATGGGAATAAGGGCCAGTCCAAGTTCTACGTTACCATTACTCTGGGTAATAGTTCCAAGCTGTGAGGCACAGCTGTATAGGCCCTGCCAGCAAGGCCATCGCAGCAGTGCTTTGATAGCATGGGGCCCCGAAGTGTCAGGATATAGAGAAGGCAGCAGTTGTTGGCTGTGAAAACAGTCTGATACAAACCAGATGGGAACTTACTAGATGGGCAACACAAAGGAAAACAATTGGCTCATTCAACAAAGTCAGGCCCCTGCCCCAGAGAATTCACAGAAGACAATAATAGTCACCCAGCATTGACACAAACAAGAAGCAGCCCTGTGGTTACAGTTTAAAGAATTGTTTTTCCTTAGACTAAACAAAGTTTTGATTTCCAATTCTTGTATTCATTAATTGTAGTTTGGTGTACAGGCCATTTTGCCAAAGACAAATATTTCATTTATACAACATATACTTTTGCGACACCAAGAGAAATATATGGGGACATAGAAACTAATTTTGTGCTACTTCCTGTAAAGTGCTATGAACATAGGCTAAACTA